TTGAAATGAGAAAGCAATTGACTCAAAGTGCATGATTAGATTGGACAAGTGTGGGAGTTCGTGTGTGCAGGCCCACCCTGTCTCAGATAGCAAGAGTGACATTTCATAGCGTTTTCATGAGGGTGAACACATCATTACTTTATCATTGTCTGTGGGATGTTGGTTTTCACGAAGGGGATTGCCCCCTGGCTCTTCAGAACCTGGACAATGACGCTGTCTTCTTCCTTCACTTGGCCCAGAAACTTCACCATCCCTCCAGAGGAGACGTGGCCCTTGGGGATGGGAAACAAAGCTCTTTAGGTACCATGAAAGATGCTGTCTGGAGCTGTGACAGTGACAGACATAAGTCCTGATGGCTCCTGTGACAGAGTTCCCACCTAACTTTTCTCACAGGCGGAACAAGACCTGACTAGCCCAGGGAAAACCTGATCAGAGCAGGTTAGAAATTTCTGTAGAAAACACAATTTTTAGCAGGAAAAAAAAAGCAGGTTTGCTGGTCCCACAGTATTTGGTCCAGTAAATCCTTGTCTGAGGGAACTTGTAGCCAGTCCTGATGAGAATGGGACATCCTGGCCTGATCCCAGCCGCAGGCCAAGAAGCAGGGGAATTAAGGATGTACCTTGCAGTTAATGTGATCCTTGATGCTGATGGGAATGCCATAGAGCAGCCCCTTCTCCTTCTGCTGCTTCACTTTCTGGAGCTGATCCTCACAGCCTTGAATGAAGTCTATCACGCAGTTCACCTCCCGAGTCACCTCCAAAGCCTCTCCAGAACAGAGCAAGACAGACAAATAGATGGAAGGAAGGAAATAGTATATAAACTGAGTTTTCAAGCTGAAAATTCAAACTCCTTAAACCTCTGACATTCAATATTCAGACTTTACCTATAAACTGTAGATGTTTCTTGCTATGATAATCTTCTGGCTCTGGATCTGTTTTACTTACTCACCCACAAGCCACTCTTCAGCCACTCACAAATTGCGATCCCCAGCATTGCTGATTCTCTCAGCAAATGAGCTGTTTCTTAATTTGAAAGCCCCCTCTGCAGAAGAGCCTCACAGCATCTCTCCCGTCTCCCCAGCATTGGAGGTATCACTCACTTTGCCCATGTAGGAGTAAAGAACACTCTCTGGGGACAGGGACCCCTCCTTCAGCTTCTCTGCCAGCTCCATCATTGTCAGTGAGAGGATGTGTGCAGTCTGGGTGCCTGGGTTCTGCAAAGGGTAGGAAATTGGGTGCAGAGGGAATAAAATGACAGGAAAGGATGATGTTGAGGCTGCAGATACCCAATTCTAACATCTGCCCAGCAATGACCTTGAATGGAGAATTTTAGGAGATATTCCCTGTAGACATGCACACTGCCAACATAGCACTGCGTGTGCTGGAGTGGGGCTTTTGCTGACAGGGAATTTGCTGAGTCTTGGTTCGTAAAACCAGAACGAAAGCAGGCAGAAAACTGCTTCTTGACTGGAGAATTGCACGAACCCGTAAGAGAGGTTTGACCTGTTTCTGTTTGCTCTCCTGCAGGGCTTCATCCCCCTTTGAACTCACAGGCAATGTGTTAAACAGCAATTCAATCAGCTAAAGTTTTACAAAATTTATCATTAACACAGGAAAAAAGCACTGGGGCTGTTTGCAACCTCCCTCCCTAGGAAAAGCATAGCAATAGGTATTTACTAGGGGTTTAAGACAAATCCCAAATCCAAGGACCTGACATCCTAAAATCCAGGTGCTTCTTTACCCAAGTGTGGGCAGGTTTTTGGTCACTGATTTGCAGATGTTGGAAGCTCCCCCTTTCTTTGAGGATGATGAGGTGGACAGGTTTCTATGGAGGGGCAGAGGTGAGGAGGACAGGAGCAGAAAGGCTTGGCAGCTGGGATGGATGAGGAGAAAAAGGGCATGAGGAGATCTGGGGTGGTGGTCTGATTCAGAGGATCCGAAACTCCGATTCATCTTTCACCCTCAGGATTCCCTCAACTGGTATGTATTAAGAAATACTTCCTTTACGCTGCCTTTACAGGAGGTTTTGAGAGACAACAGGGGTGGTGACCCTCACAATAACTGGTGATGATCCAAAGCATACACATGTCCTGACCACCATTCAAAGAGAGACTGATCAGGACTCTCCCATTTCTTTGGTTATCCAAAATACAATCCCTCACTCCCATACACGCTTTCCCCCAAATTACCTCTTGCTTAAACCTGCGAGCTGCCTTCTCCATTTGCTCCAGGGCCAGATCCCTTGTCCTCCTCGCCTCCTCCATCTTCTCCTGGATCTGCCTATGTCCCAGCCATTTCAGTAGCACAACGGCCACGGCTGAACCG